TTTTTCACATGACATATCGCTGAGGAATTCTCACGTATTGATTTTTGTATCAGCTGGCCTAGGGGTCTTAGGCAGAGCCTTCTGATCTTTTTTTGCTAAGATGTGGTAGAATTTTTACTTCCTGGTTGTCATGCAACAGTTATTGCGGAGATGTTTACGACATACCACTTGGCGCAACTTCCTGTCTGTTTATTTGATTTGAGGGATTTCTAAGCGGAATCCTTAGATCTAGCGAATTAAGCATAATATACACAGTATTTGCCAAGCTCACAGTATTTATCAGGAGTAGCTTTGCACATCAGTAACATACCTGAACGAGCAAAGAGGATTTTACTCAGCTCATTGAAAACTACGATTTCAGGTGACAAATCGGGTGGGTGCAGTGTCTAAAGTGTGGCGTTGGGCAATGGTAGATCCGAATTCGTTAGCTGTCATCATACCCGTAGATCAAGATCCCAGAGATGTTTCGAGAGAGCGTTTTGTTTCGCTTCTTGAGTATTGCGAGGAGGAGCTCGGTATGTTGAGTTACGGTAGATGTTTATTGGTGTTTAACCACCCTGTGTTGCAGGTCTTGATCGAGTCTTAGCTGTATTCGAAAAGCCAGGGCTATCCCTGTCAGAAGGATTTCCTCGCACTCTTCGGTATGTCGGTTTCCGTCTTCTTCCGCCCGACTCGATTCCAGACGTTCTGGCAAAAGACAATTATTTTGTAATGAGCTATTCTGTCTAGATTATTACTAACACTGTCACCCACTTTTCTAATCACTATCTGCCCCCGATTTGGCATGACACTATGTAGACTAACTTGTTGTTTATATATATAAAATTCTGACTGAAAATCTCTCTGTGTGTGTATTTTTGTTTCTAGTTCAAAGCATATACATGTACAATGTTTCAAATAAATACTCTGCAGTAACGTCTTTATTCAATGAAATGTTTCAAAGCTGATATTGCAAAAAGCTTCTCTATGAAGATGTCATCTTCCACGGCTGCAATATGCGCTGAAATAATATTTCGTTGATCATAGGCCTATCATGCTGAGTAGCACACAAAAACACTGAAATCGATAACGTTTAGAAGCGTGATCGAAAGATCCCGGTGAATCTGCTGATCATGTGAGGCGCCTGATAAGAACGCTAAGCAAACATGATCGATTTCTCATTCATGTGCTAATGCGTGAACATTTGGATGGGGGTAAAGAAGGGGCTTTTACTTTACAACGTTTATTAGACAATTGCAAAACTAACCAAATTTTTTT